GGAGGCTAGCGCTGCATTATCTCACACATAAAACAGTTTTCATCGCCCATGCCATGAATTTTAGTGTCACGAGAGGTCAGAATACCTCCCTGTCAGTGGAGATGTATAAAAATAGCAGTAGAGGGAATAGATAGTAGGAGAACTGGGAATAGTGCGGTATTGTTGAAACAGATTTTGATGAACAAAGAGATATGCTGCTCTCGCTCTTGGCTAGAGGTCGTCAATTGGTTGAAACTGTGACTTTGAGATGAAAGCCAGTCCCTGGAAAGCTCCTTTTTGGTAATTGTTGTAATTATGAGACACACCAAACAGGATGTTTGGTAGCTACTGAGAGAAAACTTCCTTTTAGCCAGAGCATCATGTACAATGTGGCAGCCCTTACTCTGGGCAATCTGGAACCCTTCCGTGTACCTACACTGCAGAAAAAGTGGACCTTCTGACTTTTCCAGATTTGCTGTTCTGATTTTAGTGGAACATCTGAGGAATTCTGCTAAAATGACTCAGAAAATCAAGCCAAACTAAAAGTAGACATTTACTGGTAGCTGAAAGCATAATCAATAAGCCAAAATATTAAAAAAAAATGAACAAACGAGAGGGCATGGGATGTGTAGAAATTTCAAAATTTTGAATGTGGACCAACTGTGCCCATCTAATTATAAGTTAAGCAAGTTGGCATTTATATCCAATGTGGCTTTTCCAACATGCGTGTTCTGCTTTACACTATTAAAAATAAAGGTTCAAAAAGAGGGTTATCAAAATTCTAATCTATTCTGGGTACCTCAAAACCCAAAGCAGTCAGGTAGGCAATTAATTTACAGCTGTAAGCTGATAGTGTTGAATGCATGCTGGCGGTCTTTGCTTTCTAGCAATGCATTTGCCTGGCACGAACCATTTGAGCTATAGGAGCGTTTGGCAGGTAGCCACATGTTAAAGTTGTCTCATCTCATACTTATCACCCCAAGACATATTTTAACATGGTCTGTGGTTATTGGCTACATGTGTAAGTTCCTGTCAAGCTGCATTCTGTGTCAATTTGATGTAAATGTATTAGAGGCTAACATAACAGCTTGGGTCAGAAAAGTTCAAGATCATTTTGACAGGCAACGTTTTTGTATGGAAACGAATCAGACGTGTCAACTCATTTTGCTGCTGAAATTTAAATCAAAGACACTATTAAAGCATTTCTTACAACATTCGCAAAGAGCGTTCACTTTAGTCTAAAAATATGGTATTTGGAAAACGTAATGACCAAATAACAAAAATCTAAATTTATAATGTTGCATAATTTTACATTGCCAGAAAATGCAGTCATTCTCTATATCCTCTGGACTTGCTGCACTAGAATAATCACGTATACTCTAAAAAGTACTATAATGTAATGACAATATCTGCAGTTATTAAATAATAAAATGAACAAACCTTGCAGTGTTAACTCTCTTGTAATTTCATGAAAACAATTTGGAATTTTCTTTAAGGGAGCAGGAACATTTAGTTCTGATTGTCACCAGAAATAAGAAATTTCACACTTTCACTGTCCAGCACACCATAAGGAAAACATTCCCCTGATCCATTTCAACAATAACATGGTGGGCATGTTGCTGCCAAAAATGTGACCATCATTTAGAGGTTGGACTTGTCATTTTAAAAACGTACTACAAAAAGTACAATTATATAAGAGGAGCAGAGGGGCCTTGTATCACCATGAAGTGGTTTATTTTGCAGTAATGACCAGCTGATTATACTTTCCCTGCTTATTGCACAGCTATAAATATGTAAATATGTATTAATAATATATATAAATAATATATATATATAAATATGGTCACCAAAATATGTTCGACATGAAACATTAAACTGAGTTGAAATTATTCCATAATTTTACCTGTAATATTAATACTGAAGAGCTCTGAGGAAATTTTCACCACAACTACAACTGAGACATAAGATAATGGACATTTCATTTATATGAAATTAAACAGAACAAGTCCGCAATGTGAGAGCTGAAAGTAGCGCCGGTTGTAGTTACCCAGATGAGTGGACTGATATACAGCATTGCCATGAGCAACATTGAATGACAACATTTAATTAAAATCAAGTATTTTAGAGAGCACTGTAAATGAATCACAAAAGCACTTTTTAGTTAGATTTTTTTAAATATAAGAATTTTCCCCCAGAATTTCAAATGCCTTCACACTGAAGCAAGGTGTGTCCTTATAACACAGTCTGTCATTATAACAGTGCCTCACAGTTTGTGCTTCTGCAGCATACGTGTGGATCTAAGCCTTGTTATATCCCTCCTCTGTCCTGGTGGCTGGCTGTTGCTGAGGCTTTGGAAAACGAAAGCACCCTCTTTAACTCAACTCGTTAATAGCCGTGATTAAGGCAGTGGAGCATTGGGCAGAAGGAGGTCAGGGACCTGAGTGAAACTGCCTCCTTCATTTTCTCTGGTTGAACAAAGTCCTCCTTCCCAAACCGTTGAATCTAACCTCAAAAAAAAAAAAAAAAAAAGGACGAAAGAAGAGTTGATCGCAGACTTTCACCAGCACCACATGCAAAGCTTGCCAGGAGATGTTATCAACCACTGCTGCCCTATTTTTCCCCATAGTGACTGTGAGTGGAATACCAGCAGGGACAGGCAAAAACCACACTCTTGGATTACCCTGGAGATGGATGGGATGGTGGGTTTGGGGGGAAACCAATACAATGTGGGGAATGTACAATGCCAGCCATGTATTTTTATTATTTTTAATGCGTATTTTAATTATAAATTGCTAATAATAGTCAAAATGATAATTTTTGTAATTTGTTTGCTACTTAAGATGTACCTATTTCATGCCTCAGTCAATGATGTCAACAACACCAAAATTATTTTAATGTAATAGGAGACTATTCTTTTCCATTTCTAGCACACTTTTTGGCCTCTGTAACATACTCTTGGGTAATGGTTGCGTGACTGGAACACTGCATTTAATGTCTGTGCTTCAGTCTCCCATGGGTGGTCTTTGATTGAGCATACTTATAGCAATTAATAATCTCTGCATTATGAATATCCCAAAATCTCCTTTTTTTTCTATGTAGGAATCAGTTTACCCTGGGATGCAAAGAACTTAATAATTGTGTGGCCCAACAAAACGCATGTTTTTCAAGGGGTTTGATTACAGGAAGGTTTTAATTCATGACTATGGACTGACAGTGTTTTATATACAGTATATATATAAAAAAATGCATTTACATGCTTTTTGTTAGCACTTGATTTGTGTGTTTAATGTGTTAATATCATACAATCATGGGTAATGTAACTATAAATGAGCCATAACTCATTCTTGGCTGCTTAAGGACATGGAAACCAAATGATTTTTTTTTAATAAAAGGTGCGGGGATATTATGAGACGTACTGTTATGAAGAAACCCCTATAAGCTATTGGACTACAAAATGTGAGGAGAACTGATTACATGCACGATCCATGAGGAAATAAAGCATGTTCTTGTCCTCTTCATGCCATTGCCTTTATAAAAGGGGAAAATTGTTCATATGTCTCTCACAAGCCTTTCACTTCTGCCTTCATTATTATGCTTTGTTTTGACAACACACAGGTCAGTGTGTGTACTGTTGTTATGTGCAGTTACATCATGGTCACACATGAAGGCAACATATTAATAAAGATAATTAATCAAACAATAGCTCTTTTTCAACATGATCTGGTTGCATAAAGAAGAGTGACCTTTGTTAGGAGTAGACATGCTTTTCATCCCAAATTTAAATTGGTGTTGCATAGGGTTTTATTAATATTTTCTAGCCATATATACCAGAATGCCTAACTGTTATTTACAAACGTTTCTTCAGCAACATTCTGGAGTCAGCAATTGCAAAAATCTGTTTTGGTTATTTGGTTTAATACATATTAACATGTATTTGGCTGATTTTGCATTTGTTCTTGCACTCCAACATGCACTATTATTTATTTGAATCCTAAGTAACAGTTTTCCCAAAAACAAAGACCAACAGCGTTAATAATCAAGTGTAACACATCAATACATTCTCCCTGTCAACGATGGAGTTGCTGTCAAATCCTGCTCAAGACCCCATTCATGCAATTTGCACACATTTGCCTTCTACTTTAATCGTATTAACTGTGAATGCAATAGTAAAGTGATGCGTGGAACTGCTTTCGTCAGCCAGAAAAGTAACGATGACTTAACAGCTTTACATTTTTTTATATCAGGCTACACATTTCTGTTTTGCCTATCCACGGAGTAAAACATGAACACAGTGTCGAGATAAATGTGCATTTTATATGCATCTTAAGGCATACTGTAAAATCATCGACCCCTATATCACATATCAGCTTATAGTATTACGTCAGTTACACAATTGCAAAGTGCTTTTTTTTACGAACGATAAAATTAACCAAAATTATTCGATTGACATTTTCCCAAAAATTCTATTGGAATTTTTATCCTAATTTGGAACCAATCCTGTTTCTTAATGAGACTTGTCTCATACAGGAACAACATAATACAAAGCAAGTTTAGAACACATTTTCCCAGCAGGCTCAAATGTCTATGTAGTAAATTTTATTTACTAAATTTACTAAATTTAAAGTATTTTAAAACTCCCATAGCTTTCTTATTTAACTCTCCAGAAGCAATACACTACTACTACTACTACTACTAATAATAAAAAAAGTTTGAGTTTTATTTTATCCAGTATAATCTTAATTGATAATTAGAGGATTAATTTATTCCATTATGATAAGAGGAAATTTTGATAGAAATTCAACTAATGTGTACATCCATTTACTTTGTGACCATTTCTGTGTTCGTTTTAAAAAAAAATGTTTTTACGTGTTTTAGGAGTGCAAAAAATGCAATGAAATGCAACGTAGTTTACTTTGATTTCATTTTTTAAATGTAAAGCATCACGGTTTCATTTTTGCTCGAACCATAACGAAGATTATCGTTCAAAAACTCATATCAAACAGAGTATAACTGATACATACCCAAAGGCAAAACGAAGAAAAACGGTAGCCAACAAAGAATAAACATCCCCACGACGATGGCGAGGGTTTTAGCAGCTTTCTTCTCCCTGGAGAACTTCATGAGTCTCACGGACAGTGAACTTCTGAACGGGTGATTTTTGGTTTTGGAGCTCGAGCTGGAATCCTCCGGCATGCTCCTGCAATGTATCCTCAGCACCACTTCCACTGATTTATCTCTCTCCCGTTTCACACCCGCTTCCAAACTTTTTGTAGTCCTGCGGGCCACGATGTATACTCTAGTGTACATGACTAAAATCACCATGAGCGGGAGGTAGAAGGAGAATAAAGAGGAGAACAGAGCATAACCCGGTTCCTCCGTGATGCTGCAGATGCTCTCGTCAGAAGGTGGAGGCTCTTTCCATCCCAAAAGCGGTCCGATGGAAATCACCATTGAGGAAACCCAGACCACAACGAGTATGACACCTGCTTTCCGTTCAGTCATGATAGTGGGGTATTTCAGACAGTATTTTACCCCGATGTACCTGTCTATAGATATAATGCATAAACTTAAAATAGACGCCGTGCAACAGAGCACATCCACCGCTGCCCAGATGTTGCAGAAGACCCGACCGAAAACCCAGCATCCCAGCACCTCCAGAGACGCGGAGAACGGGAGGACAATGATACTAAGCAGAAGGTCCGCTATGGCCAGGTTCACAATAAAGAAGTTGGTGACCGTCTGCAAATGTTTGTTGCAGAGCACCGACAGAATAACCAAAATGTTTCCGACGATCGCCACCAAAATGAAAACGGCCAGAAAGACTCCGACACCGATGACTTGAGAGTCGAGGGTGATGCCCTCACAGGTGGTGTTGCTGATGTTAGAGAGAAAGTCCGAGGGGAATTCGTTCTTGCTCTCGTTCAGCAGTTTAGAAAATGTCATTTTGAAACTCCATAAAGACGACTTTTACTGGTTTGGTCCGAAGCTGTCGACTGGTCGGGTCATGGTGAGTTTCATCTTCATCATCACTCTTGGAAGTTGTTTTCAGATTCTTCAGATGGATCCGTTACTTTGTGAGATAAAGCCTATTTATAAAATGTTGCCAGTTAAACACCTCGTTACACCTACATTTTTCTGTGGTGGCATAACCTGTAAAATAATTTGAACTATTTTTAAACTATTTTGAGGTAGAATAAACTAATAAGCAACTAATATGCTCCCAAGTCTATAAAACCACAGTGCCGATGCACTGCAGGTCTTATGGAGAGGCTGCTTCTGATGGCATCCTCGACCACTCCAAACTGGATTACAGAGACTCAATGTGGACCCCAGTGCTCCAGGTCTCCTCCTCCAGCTCTGAGAACTTGGTGACGCGTCGCACACTTGCTGCAGATCTTCATGTGACCACTAGAGGGTTCGGTATTATTGTTGCACACAGGAGGACTGTTTTCATTTTGCAATGCATAATACATTTTATCAGTAGCTTACATTATTCAGAACAACGTGAAGTCATGTCAGTTTTATTTGTATAGAATTTTAACAACATATATATTGCTTCAAAAAGGCTTTTACAGAAATCCATTCCTTACGCTCTTAAAAATAAAGAACATCAATGAAACCTTATCATTCCATAAAAGGTTCTTCATTGTGGATTTTTGAAATGTTAGGAATTGTTCACTGAACACTGAACACATTATAGCCTCAAACATAATTCATTTATCTATTTTGCAGCACTGATCGGTAAGGCATTCCTCATGATCTTTCTATATTACAGTTCTACTAAAAAAGTAACACTGAAAAACAAAACTTTAGTAATATTTCATGTTTTATGTGTGCAAAACCCCTCAACACAACATTTCACTCTTCCATTTGCATATCTGGTGAATGTTAATCGTGCTGTCTACAATAAAATGTACCACATTTTTGTGCAGTAGAAAACCTTTTTTTTTGTCATGACAGCTTTCTGAATAAAAATAAACCTCTTTAAACTCTGTGCAGTAAAGTCAGACTTAATGCTATTCCTACTGACGCTGTGCAGCTGCCAATTTGCCACCTGTAAGTCCAGATGCATACTAAAAGCTGAGGGGCAATTTAAGAGGCACAGGGTCCCTTGATGAGGAGTTGGAAGGAAGCGATTAGGTGAAGAAACTCTGGTAAAATAGTACTGGGATACACATTAAGAATATGCGAGACACTGCACATGAATGTCAATCACAGTCAGGGTTTAAATATTATATGTTGCCTTCCAGGTTGTCATCACTGATCAGGGAGTTGTGCAGACGCTTATATCGAAATATCTGAAATGTAAATTCTACATAGATGTCTTGGGATTTGTCTTATCATATGACATGTGAACATTAAATACAACATCGGAGATGACGGTCATGCTCATCAAGGCTGAATTTATTTGATCAAAATACAGTAAAAACAGTAATATTGTATACATAAATATTCTTACAAATTAAAATAACTATTACTGTATATTTTAAAATATATTTTTTCCTGTGATGGCAAAGCTGAATTTTTAGCAGTAGTTACTCTAGTCTTCACTGTTTCATGATCCTTCTTAAATCATTCTGCTTGGTGCTTGATTATTATTGGGGCTAAATTATTAATAACGTTTCTTAAAATGATCGATGTTGAAAATATTTTGTCTGGTTAATATTTTTGTGGAAACTGATACTTTTTAAAATTATTAATAAATGATAAAAAAAAAATTCAGGATTCATTTATGAATAGAAAATTCCATGATCAGTGTTCATTTGAAATAGAGTTTGCTGTAATTTTGATCAAATAAATGCAGCCTTGGTGAACATAAGAGACTTCTTTCAAAACATTAAAAAAACTATATTATTCCAAACTTTTGCAGTGTATATTACAGCTGTAACTTAACTGAATATAAGCAGTATACATGCTGTTGTGAGGATGAATCTGTTGTCTGTAGTGTTGTGTGCGGCTGTTCCAAGTTCCTTTCCTAATCCTATGCAAAGAAGCTTAGTTCCAGCTGAGAAGATGAAAAAGAGGCTACAATTCACACATGATCACCAAATCTGAATAGCTAAAATTGGATAGACACTGCATGGCCTGCAAAATCCTGCCTGCAAAAGGCAGATAGTATGGTCAGAATCTGGCACATCATAAATCCACACATCATTCCTGCCTTGTGTCAACAGGGCACAGTGGTGACGCTGGTGTAACAGCCCTGGAAATATTTTCTTGTGACACATTAGACCAACCGCCCATCGTCCGAATGACGCAGGTTGCCTGAGTGCTGCTTTGATTATGTGTACACATATAGCCACTAACTAGCCATTTTCAGATTTTGCTCTGGTCCTTCAGATCTATGGAAGTGGAAGGTTTTAAAGTATGAATGTGCAGCCAGAAAGTCCGCAGAAACTGCATGGAGTGAGTCAGCATGGTAAAAGTCCCCAAGGATTGTTTCCAGCACTCTACTGAAATCACAATGCAAAAATTCTGCCAATTGTGAAGACAAAAGCAGGTTTAGTTTGAGACTGTGAAGTAGTCATTATGAAACCAAGAAAAACAGCAAGGGACATAATTTGGTCTAATCAATTATTCTGCATTATAGGCTATTAATGACAACATGAACTGCATTTCTCTCAAGATGTGCACGTCTGCATATCTATACTGGACTATATTATATGAATATATCACAAATTATATTTCATTTGCAGTTGCAAATATAAAATAAATATATATTTAAGTATATATTTACCTGCATTTCAAATTTTGTTCTTGTTATTTCCACCACCGAATAAACAAAAAGTTAATTGCAACTTTTTATCTTACAATTCTGAATTTTTTTCTCAGAAGTACCTGATGCAAACTTGCAATTCTGACTTTTTTTCTCAGAATTGTGAGATATAAACTCGCAATTCTGAGAAATTAAGTCAGAATTGTGAGATATAAACTCGCTGTTGTGAGTTAAGTCAGAATTGTGAGATATAAACTCGCCAATCTGAGAACATATCAGTCTTTTTTTCTCCTCAGAGCTGGACTTTATAACTCACAAAAAAGTACTTATAACTGATAAAAAATTCAGAATTGTGAGATACAATCTTGCAACTGCAAGAAAAAAGTCAGAATTCTGAGTTTACATCTCGCAATGGGCCGTGTCTAATTCTGTGGCTAAAGATAGCAGAAGTTCTAGAAAGCACTTAGACTAGGTGGTTGAATTTAATCTTTAGTTGTTGTTCAAGACTCAGTTTGTTCTATTCTGTGCAATTACTAGGATTGGTTTCCCACTATTGTTATTTTTCAAGGAATCAGATTTGAACACAACCAGATTAATCCCCTTTTCTACAACAACAGGACTATTGTTATGTTTTTTGGAAAAGATTCCAGGTCTTGGTATGAAATTGTCAAATTTGACGTGACAACCGCAAGGGCATTGCCCTCTCTGTAGCTCTAACTGAAGCGGTTTTTGCTCAGCTGTCAGACCCGCAATGCCATTACTGTTCTCTATCAGAGATGTTTATGAACAGTGGTTGTGCTGTCACACTCTCCAGGTCCAGACCTGCTAGGTTTCATGAATGAATGATTTTTCCCTCCACAAAATTCTACACCTGAACACCGTCAGCCGTCTTCCAAAATCTGCTCTGGAACACTTTTAGGTTTTATCAGGATGCTTCAGCCTGCTGGCAGCAATAAAATAATGATCTAACATATAAAGAAAACCGAAAAACAATTGCTAGCAGCTCTGGCATCATTAATTAATGACTAACCTTCAATTATGCATTTTTAATTGACTGTTTCTACTGCTTAAGGGTCATTAATTATGAATCTTCTCTTAAATTAGAAGACCACAATTCTCTTCATTCTTTTCTTCTTCTGCATCTACTAATCTGGCATTTTATTCAATGGCTCATGTTATTTATTCTTAGCACTTACGTCTGTAACTTATGGAAACTTATTCATATAAATTAAAAAGCTAATTGTGACTTTCTATCTTACAATTCAGACTTTTTTTTCTTGCAATCCTGTGTTTAGATCTCACAAGATATAAACTCAGAATTCCTAGATATACAATTTTAAACTCGCATTTGTAAGACAAAAAGTTGTGAGATAAAAAGTCACAATTACCTTTGTATTCTGTGGTGGAAACAAAACAAAAAACAATTGAGATGTAAACTCTTTTTCTGAAAAAGTCAGAAATATGCATTTATATCTAACAAATCTAAATTTACATGTAATGCAATTACCTTGTATATATTTATATATACATTATACATATACACAGTACACATACACATATATTATGTAAACAAAAACATTAATTTTGGATGTGATTAATCGTGATTTGACAGCACTAATATTTATATATACAGTGGGGGAAAAAAAAGTATTTAGTCAGCCACCAATTGTGCAAGTTCTCCCACTTAAAAAGATGAGAGAGGCCTAGTAACTACTACAAATCTCCAGTAGCACAGTTTATGGCTTCCACGTTAGGAAAATTTGCATTGCATTTTTCTGCTACAGATTTAATATAGTTATTGATCTCTGACACTCACTGTGTAGTCTTAGACTGTGGAGTCTAAACTGAATGTAATACCATTGAAGGATTCAATGCTTTGCTCTAATTGAACTGACACTATGCATGCGCTGTCTGCTTTAGAACACGATGACGTCCTTCGGGTTTGTGATTGATAGAAGTTGCATATGAGTCACACAGCAAATGAACACCAGTCGCGTTTACCTCTCCGATGAGAGCCACCATCATCTCTCACATCAGAGATTATTACCTACACACAACCAGGCTTCACATTGCTATCTGTGTCAAAGTGATGCAAAGGCACTTTGTTACGCTGATTAGGAAACAGTTTTGTAGTTCTAATAGACCTTGCACTGAAAGCATATCTGCTATCGACGGATGTTATTTTATTTTGCAGTGATGAGACATTCAAGATTCACAGCCGACACAGTTTGAAGGGATGGTTGAGCCATTGGTCTAGCTAATTTAACCATAGAAA